TGCAGCCATTTTACATCTACTGTTGATTGTGATAACTTTGTCCCACTGTGACCATCATGTCTGACACAAATAATTATCCATGGCCTTATTGAAAGATGTATTTTCACTGAAAACAATAGCGAGAAATTCAGTGAAGTTCCAGCATTCGAGCACTTTAGTTCTGCAGGGCTCTTGTTCTCACTGAGACAAGCTAATCTGTCTAGTAGAAACTATGAAAAATTAGCTGCTGCTAAAGCTAAATAATAAGTGGAGTGTGTGAAGAGCTGTACCACAGACAGAAATAATGATTGTTTTAATAAAAATAAAGTTTATATTCAGTAGTGCCTTTTGTGTGTGAATTTAAGTTGAATGTATGCTATTTTTAATAATGCTATCATTACTTATTTTTTGTGGATACTTTTCACTTTATTGCTACTTTAGTACTGTATATATTTGGTACTTTTACTTTTTACTTGAGTGAATATTTTCTAAAGTAACAGTATTTTTACTCAAGTCAATATTCTCAGAACTTTACCCATCACTGCACAGTATACTGAGGAACATTGTAATTTTTTTACTTGTCAGCATATTTCCTCTACAATACATATATTTTTATGTTGTTCACATTGCATGCTAACCCTAATAAAACTTGTAATGTAATTGTTTTTTAGAATTTTAGTAATTACTATAATGGTAATTTTGTGCTGGGGTCTAGTTGTACCCCAGGTGTTCCACAGCATAACTTTTTAAAGGTGTGCTGATGAGGGTTAAATTCAACATAAATGGAGCAACCAAAATAAAAAAAATGAAATTAAACAAAATTATTAGGAACAACTTAAAATCATGGAAACCGAGATAAAGTAAGCACATTGTTACCAGAAAATGCATGTTGAGATAGAAACAAAATTTAACAACATTAGTTAGAACAATATATTGTTGAGTAATAAAGAAAAATCACGATACACCATATTTCAAAGGAAAAATTACAAAATATCTGCTGAAGTTCTCTGCAGACCATTGCATTTCAACAGTCGTCTTTCAAAAAATCTCCTTATCTCTGAATCTCATCTTTAAGGTTTGTTAATTCCTCTTGGAGTCATTGGTTTTCCTCCATAAGGCAACTGAGTTCAGATAGTCCAGGAGACAGCTTCCTTTTGAATTGAAGCCCAAATCTCCACCCATTCTACAGCTTAAGCCTAACAGTTGTTGTATTCATGCTCCAAAATTGTCAGGCTGCTTCCTTCATGAATTTACTTTGAAACAGTGATGTATCTGGTGGAAGTGGGGGGTGTTGCCAAGCCTGGAGCCTTGTTCTTCATCTTTCTTGATTGGGACTTCACTGGAGTGGCAACTTTCAGTAGAAAAGATCACAGGTCCTTCATCTTCCAAGATAACAGATCAGTGTTGGGTCAATACTAGCTAATGATTGTTTTGTTGGCATTAGTTAAGCAAAACTGACCCAATGTTGGCTTACTATTATGTAAATAACCATTGGGTAGTGTGAACCATTATTAAAAGGGCCATGGTTTGAAGAAGAGAGTCTTGGTTTTTCAATGCTGTAATAATTTCTGCTGCAGGCTGTGCCAGATCCTCTTTCACAGATTTATGGTTTTTCTCACTTAAACAATGATGCCTGATTGCTGAAATGGCACTCGGTGTTTCCAGCTCAGCAAGGAGCATCTCATCCTTCAATCTTGCTGTCTTTTCGTAAAGTGTTCCTCAATTGTTTCCAAATAAAATGGCCAATGGTTAAAAAATGGTGGTTTTTATAGAAAAATTCAGGACTGAAAACTTCCAAGTTAAACCAACCTGTGATAGATTAATAATTCAGTCAGAATGTAAGTTAAGACAATTACAACTATAACACATACACAAACTAGATTAATATGTACCAAAAAATTGTGTGTACTCCTCACAAGCTTCATTTCTGCATCATATAAAAACTGATGTACAATTTGCTATGCATGATGTTACAATTGAATAGTTTCATGATTCCTATAGCAATAGACTTAACTGATGCATAATTTGTTGTACATGATGTACTGAATGGCTTCATGACTCCTATAGCAACAGACTTGTGATAGTGCTTACTCCAAATGCTGTTTGAAAAATGTACTGAAGAGAATTCTGTAGATGCCACCTATTGAGCAATTAAAACAGTGATGAAAATAATCACAGATGGAAATCATCCAAAATTGGTTATTCTATAAACATCCATCTAGATCACATTTCGTGTGTCAACCACATATACAAAGACCATTGTAGTAAGCATGAAAGGAGGGAAGCAGAATTATCTTAATTATCATAACAAAAATCATCCTAAAGCACCATGTTTATCCTGTCAACACTGCAATCTGAGGGTTGTGAAAACTCCACTACATCAGATAAACACCCTCCTCATCAGCTGAGATAAGACCATATGAGTCAACTTGATCATCCATCTCTGATACCTGGAGTATCCAGTTTTTCAAGATGTTTCTTCAGTCACATAGTTTTAGCTTGTTGAACGTTTGGCAAGTGCATGCAAGATCATTTAAAATCATAATTCACTCCATTTAGCTTCAGACACAAAATATGGACCATTCCTACCAGAACTGAGTTATTTTTGCACTGGAGGCACATTCTACAACTATACCCAGTTATTAGGCTTTGACTTATGGCCACTTTACCCATCTGCTGCCACATGAAATAATACAAATCAGATATTGCAGCAAGCAGCCATTCCACATATTACTGTGAATACTGCAATATTTCTGTACTGGGTGGAGGACCAAAAATCAGATCCACTGGGAGCTGTACTTGTTCCAAATACAAGAAGATTTGGTGAACATTCAGTCTACTGTTGTACAGTATGCCATAACAATATACAGTATGTGCTCAAAGCAACCAGTTTGGTCAGGGTTAATAAATTCAGCCAAACCATCAAATTGAGGATGACACGGTGAAGTGTCTTTGCTATTCCCAATACTCATTACATTTCTACAGACAACTTGCTGTTGAAGTTGTCTCCTTGATCCATGCAAATTTCTCTAGGCATGTCAAATCATGAAATCCATTGTTCAACCAACAGCTTCAGCCCACTTCCTGAAGTAACCATTAACAACCAGTATATGGTGGCAGAATATTAGCTAAATCCAGTGAAATTCTCACTGGAATTGAATCCATCCTTCTCTGGGACAATAATTGTTTTTTTCTGGGCAGAACACTGAGTACAAACTCTATGCCATTATTCCTTGTCTTTAAGTGAATGGGATCACAAAAACACTTCCAAACATTATTGACAGTCTGAGGCAGTCCCTAGGACCCTAAAGTCCTTGCATTATGCAAAGCCCTAACAATTTCCTGCCTCAGCTCCCTGGCGACCACTAACTACATTACAGGTTGAGTACCATGTCTCGGTCAGGCCCTACAAGAGGGGGGGGGGGGTCAGCAGGGCCATTTAGCCTGGGCCTCACATCAGCCAAGGATGCATGGTCCTCCACTTTAACCCTTTGGCTGTGTTTCTCAACTTGAGCTGAATTTGAAACTTTTACCATATACTGTGATTCTCGACTAAAATACATGGCTGTGAAAAAACATTCCCCTTTTTGTGCTGAATCTACCATTCTTTAGGAGTTTCAAAATGCCTGCCTTAATACTCCCACACTTTTCTCCACAAAGTACTGGAAAATGACATAATGTAAACAAGAACTCAGCTGATGCCACCTGTCCTCCACCCACTCCTTACCGCACGGTCCGAACCTCATATTTCTTCTACTTCTGCCATAATAATGGATTCTAGAACATATATTCCATGACTTTAACAGCTTAAAATTTTTTAGTATGTAATCAATCAATTATGAGGTAGTTGATACATCACTCACTGAATTTTTTATTATTCATCTTTGTGATTTTTTATCTAATTTTAATTTCAGTGTTTCAGAAACCAAAATGAAAAGGGCTTTTGAAAGTGGAGCAAATAAAGCGTGTAAAAAGAAGAAAAGTGAAGAAGCACTAAGTATCTACAAACCAATAAGTGATTTTTTTACTCAAAAAATTCCAAGTCCAGAGAGTGAAGATTCATCATTATCATCAGAAACACAAAGATGGCAAATTAGTCTTGAACAAGAACCACAGGGACAAGATGATTTTGATATTCAAGCACAAGTGCACGATGAGCAAACTAAAGAACAAATAGATGCAAATGCACCAGCATCTACAGCTGCACTTGACTCAACCATATGTAATGATATTGGGCTTCTTAACAGACATAACCCCGTGCAAAAAAAATCTTTCCTCAAAATCACTCATTTTGACATTCCAAATGATGAACAAAATCATTCTTTTCCTGCTCATTTGTTGGTTAAAAGAAGCCAAAATGGTGAGATTTACAAAACGGACTAGTTGTGTTGGAGTGAGTGAAAACAAGCTGTTTTTTTGCACTCCATGTTTTCTTATGGAAAATGATACTAGACAGTCTAGATTTAGTGCTAGCAGCACAAATGAATCATTTCTTTGTATGGAGTATGGCTGGAAGTATCAAAAGAGGTTGGAAAAAGCTAAAAGATCGTATTCCAGCACATGAAAATTCTGTGAGTCATAAAGAAAACCATGTAGCATGGAGATGTGCCCAAAAAGCTGTGACTACAAAAACCGCAGTGGAAGATTCATTTCTGCGTGAGCTACATGCCGAAGGTGCAAAATGGAAACAAATCCTTGAATGTATTTTGCATGTTGTTCTGTTTCTTTCTGAATGAGGTCTAGTCTTCTTTGGATCAAATCAGCATATTAGCAACCATCCAAATGTAAACTTTTTGGGCATAATAGAGCTTCTCAGTGAATACAACCCTGTTTTGAAAGCACATGTAACACAACTTAAAAAATTTCAAGAAAGTCATCATTGCATTAAAATGCACTACCTTTCACAAAGTATACAAAATTAGTTTACTGAGTTTTGTGCATCATTTGTTCAAGAGGCGATTTTGAAAGAAATTCGACAGGGGAAGTACTTTTCTGTAATTGTTGATTCAACACCAGATGTTTCACATAAAGAACGGACAACTGTAGTCATCCAGTATTTGAAAATAAAGGAAAAAAATTTACGATGCACTAAAGTGCACAATTCAAGAAAGATTCATTTTACTTGACAACATCAACAAAAAAATACATGCAAAGACATTGCAAACTGCATCTTGACTATTCTTGAAGAATTGAAACTGGACTTCCAATTTTGCATTGGACAAGGGTATGACAAGAAGCAAATATAGTGGGTAAATACAATGGAGCCCAAGCAGTTTTAATGGAAAAAAAAAATCCCACTGCCATTTTCTCAAACTGCGGCAATCACACACTGAACCTCATTTGTGTTGATTCTGCTGCATTGTGTAAGGAAGCAATAACTTTTTTCGGAACGATCAAGCAACTGTTTAACTGTTTCAGCAGTAGCCCACAAAGGTGGGAAATTCTGAAGAAACATTTGCTAGTTTCATTGCATGGTTTGTCAGATGCATACTGAAGAGCCAAAGTAAATGCTGTGAAGCCCATTGCAAACCATACTGCAGAAGTGAGAGCTGCACTGGCTGAAGTTCAATCTCACTGCACATGCCAAAATGGAAATCCATAGTATTGAAAAGTATTTTTCAACATTTGATTCATCAGATAAATCTCGTGATAGAATTTTGCACAGCTATGCTTGATCTTGAAAAAAAAACAACATTGAGAGTCTCATCAAAAATGTTCAGCATTTTCGTGACCACTGGGATGCAATCTTGATTGAATGCAAACATGTTGCAGAAAGCATTGGTATTTCTCCAAAGTTTTCCACAAAATGTACTTTTCCAACTGAAAAAGGAGACAGAAGAGTATTTTAAAAGCACATGTTTTTTGTGCTCACTGGTTCTGTTCAAAGTGATTTGAACAGACAATTTGAGTCTTTGAGGAACATATGTTCCCTTTTCAGTTTTCTGTGGGATTTCAATACCCTAAGTATTCATCCACCAATAACTTTCAAAAAAAGTATTCAGAACATGTATCTGAGGAACTCATTGACAAAATGCTATTTCGTAAACGAATCTAGTGACACAAATTTGACAAATTGTGGCACTAAGCCAAAGAAAATTTTGGAACAAATTCTGGAGTTGGGATTAGTCTAAGTGTTTCCAAACGTGACAATTGCAATACGAATATTTCTATGTTTGCCTGCTTCTGTAGCATCAGGAGAACACTATACTAGTGTACTAAACCAAGTTAAAAACTACCATCAATCTGCAATGGCACAAAGCGTCTCAATGGCATAGCCATGCTCAATATTAACTGTGACATAGCATGAAAGCTAGATTTTTCTGCCCTAATTGAAAACTTAACGGAGAAAAAATAATAAAAGGCCTTTCTGAAATAACGGTTTTAATAAAAACAATAGTGTCATCATTATGTTTTTTTATTTGTATAATAAATTTTTGGATTCTGAGTGGCATTATTTAGAGACACTATAATATACAAACTAGTCAAGCCAGTGTGCCTAAAGCTAAATAAAATTATACAGTCATGCATTCTACGAATAAAAATTTCTTTACATGCCATTCCTTACATTAAAATATTAAAAAATGAGGGGGGCCTCACAATGTGAAATGGTCCGGGCCTCATCTGAGCTTGTTTGTCAAAAGGTGTGGGCCAGTCATTGACCATTGTAATCTTTGAAGAAACAGTGGACACTCAATCTTTATCAACTATGCTACTGAGAAATTATGCTTTATACCCATAAGCACACACTTTCTCGGTTTCAGTTTAAAGACTGCATCAATGAATTATGTGGCCAAAGACAAGTATGACACTTATATATATGATACATCTCTTCCATTTCAGTTCTTTCACTGTAAGTTTAATCAACCATTCAAAAGTTGTGGGGCATTACACAGACTGAATGGGGTGATGTGGAACTTGCACAGTCCTCCCCAAATGCTGAAAACATTCTTAGGGCTACTTTGTATAAACACTACAGTTACATTTTGTATACTTTAAAATACTGCTATAAAAACAAGTTAATTGAAAATGTTTTTGTTCTACTCTTAATTTCTCCACTGTAGCTCAAAATCAATGCTGTGTAAAAAATTGCATTTTAGATCTATCTTTTGTCTCCCACAACTCACTTCCCAATGAGCTTTTTGTTCAATACCAGAAATCTAATTTTGAGCTGCAATGAGTGAATTAAGAGGAAGGTAAACCTATTTTTGTAACAATTTTTAAGCCTATTTTCTAATATTTCGCTACCTTTTGGAGTTTGAACCATAATTTTTTAAAACACTTTTTTTTCTTTTACACAAGTGTCACTGCATTGAGACAAATTCTCCCCTTTTGTAACTATATTTTTAACAACTGCTATATACACAACAAAATTTTCTCTTGTAAAAAAATAAGTTAAAGATATTCAAATCTTAAAACATTTTTCCATCAGTTTATGTTTTATAAAACATGAGGTACCATTTATACAAACTATAATTGATAGCAAAGTACCATAAGTTGTATAATCTTTATATATATTTCACATATAATAGAAAATTGTAAAATAAATGTCCCAATATTTTCAGTGCACTACACAAGTGACAAGACAGATAAAACTACTCAAGTGTAATAATGAACTAATTGTATAGAGATGGTGGGGATATGCAGTTATTAATCTATTCTCACAGATCACATTTGGAGTGATATTCAAAACTTGAATTGACAATCAGGAGCATATTTAGGTTTATTTAATCTGTTTTGAAAAATGTTTATATTATATTACTTCTCTTCTACTTATAATATTTCTTTGCTGTTTTGTTTAAAGCAGCTAAGTGCCAAACTTATACTTAATATACTAGGTATCGACCTAAATATGACAAATAATTCATTTCACATTTAATAGTAAGTAATACTCTTTTCAAAATAGGCTACATACAGTAATCAAGTCACATGCATATATCCATCATCTACTGTATCTATCATCCCCAATAATTTTGAACACATGACTGGGCCCCACCAACTCTACTATTTATCAGATCACCTTTGTGATTTCTAGAAATGATTTATAAAAGAGAAACTTGTACCAGCTACACATTTCAGTAATTATTTCAAATGCAGGTAATATTACTTTTAACAATGGAGATACATGATGCCTGATCTATCTTTTTTTACATTACTGCCTCTACATTTATATTTTATCAATTCTATTGGTAATATAAAAGGATCAATAACACAGTAAACATACTTAAAACAAGTTAAAATTTTAATTTCATTCTTTTACTGTATCTAAGTACCAGAGTATATGGTTTTGATGAGGGGGAAAGAGAAAGAAAAAAATAAAGCCTTAAAAGGTTTAGAGTAGCACAATTTTCCCTAAAACTGGTAAGCGGGCAAGCACTTAACATAGAAACAAACCATAAAATTAAAAAAAATAGAGACAAGGTTAACACAGGCTTATTTTTAAGTAACATTCACTGTATTATCTTTTTTCTTCTTATTACTGTTACTACCATAACAGAAGACTACAAATATTAAAACTATGCATTAGCAAGACAAAATTTTAGTACAAGTTTAATTAAATCAAAGAAACTCACCAAAGAATTTTCATTGAATCAAGATTTAGTCAAAATGTATTGCAGATATTTAAATTTTATCTGTTATGGTAGGTAACTGAGCTATATATATATATCATTAAATTAGATTCATTCATACGTAACACCTTTCAAGTTAATCAACAGCATCAAGATACACCCTTGAGTAAAAAATTTCGCCTGTGGAAAATGTCTGTGTGGAATCAGTAATGGCCTCACAACTCTCTGTCTGTATGCTGACATTAACCACTTTCTTCACACTTGCTTGATGTTGAGAATGTAAACAGGTACATAAAGGGACTCCCTCTATCTTTGTCTGGATTCCTTTACTCTTAAACTCTGCCAGAAAAAGCTTTGGTGTCTGTGCAGTTACACTACCAGAGTCTTCCTGAAATAACAATATTTAAAACACTGACTTTAATAATGTATTAAATAATATGTAATAAATCATGCATGTATTAAATATAACAGTTCTGAATCTTTTATAGCTTCATTTAAAATTATTTAATATTAGATCTAACCAGACTTTACAAAACACTGAAAACGTTGAAGAAATGTAGTTGGGAAGGAAAACGCTTTTAAATATTCTGACTATTACAGAGTAGGGTTGTGTGAAAGGTTGTGAATTACTGTCATGATTAGTTGGCCATATGATCACCTTAGTCTAGTCTAATTACTGATAGATAAGGATGGTTTTTCATAAGTAGATACTAATTAACTAGTTTTATCCTAGGTTTCAGCTGCTAATCTGCTGCCATCTTCAGGAAAGGTCTGAGAAGGACCATTTCTATGTTTGTACTGATTGGGATTCAATCCTAGGTCTTCTTGATGAAAATATGGTGCATTATCCAGTCATTATCAACTGGATAACAAACCAGACTTCCATCAAGAAGACACAGGATCAAATCCCAGCCACTGACACAGTTTTAGCTTGTAATCTAGTTATAAAGAGGGATAAAAGCTTCAGAATGAACTTACTTTAGACTGTTGTACTACAGAAATACACCTTTAAGCAAAGAACGATACTTGGTTTTATATAGTAAGGAATTGGATAATTATTAATATATAAAGTAATAAATAATTGCTATTTAACACTATGTTAAAATATACTAATAAATGGTACAGCTATGCAATATGGTTTACACATGTATGCTGGTTAAGAGATAAAAAAAATGTAGGGGGAGGAAACCCAATTTTCCTGACTTTTCTAGATTCATGGCTATCCAGTGAAAATGTAAGTTATATATGCAATACTAATTCTAAATTATCGTAGTTAAAAAGAAAAGCTACAGTCCTTTAAAAAAAAGGTTTTTATATTAAAAATATTTGACAGTGAAAAAAAAAATTATATAGTCTTCAATATTTGTTCTTTCCGTGTCCATTTTAACGTGATGAAAAAAAGTCCTTCTACACTAACCAGAGGTCTATTAGATGTCAGTACTATATCTCTATGAGGGATTTAAGAGACAGAAGTCCAGGAAGGCCCCTCCCCCTATAGACCACTGTTGCATGTAGATTATTAATAAATAGAATATAATCTTACATAGAAGAATTAACTTTTTGCAGTAATGCACACAATTACTAATCATACCTGCACACAGTTATCTAATCTCTATAGATTATGTGAAGTGAAAGAGGTAAGACATCATATTGAAGTTAAAATAACAGTAAAACACTTTATTGAAGTAAAAAAAGGGGAAATAGTTAAAAAGTACACACGACAGACATGGGAATAGATTCAGACAGGGACAGCGAGTTTGGTGAATATATTTATGCTTCGTATAATATTCACAAGGTATTCCCCCATACACAAGGTCAAGCAACAAAACATAGCAGCCCAGGGTGAATTTCAGCATTTATTGTGCATGCCATCAGAAATGGATTTAAAGTTTTCCAAAATTAGAGCTTGGAATATATATATTATAGCAGAGTCAGGCACATAATATTTGCATACTATAACCTTCTTCCCTTCCGTGATAGATTGTTTAGGCAGAGTATTCAAGATGAGCAAACTGGAATGGGCAACAACTGCCTGTTGTAGAAACAACACAAGTGTAAAGGATGACATTTCAAAAGTCTTCCACCTTTCATCTTCGGATCAGTGTGTATAAGCTGTTGCAGGTCTTTTATAGTATCCTGGTGGATCGTGGAGGACGTGTTGTGATTGGTTGTTGAGAGAGGTGATGAATCTGATGGGACAAAATAAGGACCATCTGTGAGCAGTAGACCAGACATAGAAATTGGTGGATCCTACCTATAAAGGTAGAAGGAGATTTGTCCCTGGAAGAAGAGGAATCCGCGGGATTGTAGGGTTGAAGACAGAAACCCCAACGTGAGAGGTATGAGCCAAGTAGCATCAAATAGCATAAAACAGAGCACAAAAGTCTGTCCAGGTCCAAATGATCACAGGAGGGTGAAATAGATGGGAGAGGTCTCCTACCCAAGCAGCTGAAAACATAGGAAGAAAGGAAAGGGGTACAGGATGAGTCTGTAACATTAAATCTGAAGTAAGAGAAATTTGTCTGAAAAGTGGTAGCCAAGGGCTCAAAAGGACATGGCTAAGAGGGTGCAGGATGATACTGAGGTCCCAGTCAGGCATGGAAACAGGGAGAGTGTGTCTACGGATAAGGAAGGACTGAAACAAGGTGGAGAGAACAGGGGAGGAAACACTTTACAGTACTGAAAAAGTCAAAATGTTGAAGACAAGGCCATCTAATAACTAGCAACAGTGGAGACAGCTAAACCTTGCCACTCAACAGTAAAGGGAAGAGAGATGTCCAATGGTAGGACAATCAGGAGGATGGTGTCAACAAATGGACCATTGTTGAAAGTCACACCTGCCATGTGGGAAAATGGACCAGGTAGAAGGATGCCCAGAATGGGAAAGGTAAAGAGATTACGAGATTGGAAAGTTTGGTGCAACAGGCAATGGACCAGACAAATCCAAACATGAAGGTGGATGAAAAAAAATCCCTTGATGTTAAGGAGATGGGAAATATTGAAGCAATATAATGTATAATTGCCAGGGGGAAGAGGGGAATAGATTGTCAGGTGGCACAGAAGAAGCAACCAAGGTTCAGCCATCTGAAGGAGTAGCACAAAGAGGACACAACTAGGAGTGTCTCTAGTCAAGGCCAGGACTGAAGGTAAAAGATGGAAAGATGGGTGAGCATTATAGAAGCATAAGACCAGACCTGGTGGAAGGCGGCAAAAGCCAGGGCTGAGGGATGGAGAACAGATGGTCAGAAGAGAGAGGAAGCATGAAACTGAGGGTTAGTAATATAATAATAAGTAGTCTTTAAGAGAGCACCCCAATGGAAAACTGGGGAAGAAGAGACAATATGCAGGTAGAACATGGTTTGGGCAAGTGAGGCAGCCTGCAACACGTTCATAATACCTGATATATAGCAGGCAAGGAAACCAACCTGTTCAGAATTAGATCAATAAGGAATATCTAGGGTTTGAAAGCAAATAGTTCTGGATTGGATTCCCCCTGGCAGTGAAGTTAGGAAAAAACTAAGGAGTCATAAGAATGAAACATAACAAAATGAACCACTAGGAATGGTAATAATGGTTTCATGCTCTATGGTCTCCCGGAAGTTTGAGTGCATGGATATGGAGGGACGATTCATCCTGGGTCCAAGTGGCAGATGTAAAATTATCATTCAGGGATGCTCCCCAACAAAAGGGGGAAGCATAGGTGATGAGGTGCAGGTCCAGTTTGGGTGGAGGTAATGGAACACAGATGGTGATATGGGATCAGTCCAGCCACCCATACAAATACTAGAACAGAGGAAGGGACAGGAAAATCATTAAGGTCAAACAATAACACAAGGCATCTTTCATTTTGATAAAGAAAAAAACATGTCTGATGCATTCAGTGCTGAGGAAAGGAATGAAAATTCAGGAGTGCAAAAGCATATAGGGAGTTACTGTACAGGTAGGTTGTGTTACCCTCCTATAGGTGGAGGGCTTTTGCTGCATGATGTCATTATGCAGTAGTGCAATTCATGAGAAAACTTGTGAGATTAGGTTGGAGTTAAAAGCTAGTTGCATGCAAATCTCTAAGGCAGATGCATGAGGAGGATAGCTTAACTGTGTGAAGAGGTGTGTATCATCTAATAATAAGGAAGTGGGAAGGGAGCACCAAAAGATAGGAAAATATAACAAAGGGTAACACTTCAAGGTAGAGAAAAAAACTTTTAAATACACATTGCAAATGGGGCAAAAAAATG